CAGGGCAAAAATATCCATGATTATGGTGAGTTAGAGAGCATGAAAGCAGGTTCACGGAAACTTCACTAGGTGAAACGTTCTATTTTGCCACAACTGGTATTTATTTTAAATGGTAAAATGATAGAGTTTACCCTTAATTTGGTTTATTCATGTTCATTACAACAGAACACAATAAACTTTAGGAGATTTTGCCATTCTGTGAAAAGATAGGATCACTGAAATAGCGCCGGAGATCTCTCAAATATCCTAGTGATTTTCTCCATTCGAGAAAACTGAGAAATGATTAGAGGTTCAAGAAAATTGATATAAATTCTGAAAGTTGCAGAAACTCTTACCTGACCGGCCATCCAACAAGATATGCTTGGAGATTGTGTTAATTCAGTCTCAACCCTATCTATCGTCTCCTACAGGGACTTGAATACATGTCATGAGATTCCAAGCGCAGCCATTGCTTGAAACATTTTTTCGAGTTCATCGATTTCATCGATGGCTCGCGTTTTCTTTGCCACCATGATGAGAAAATTCTCAATTAAAGAAATTAGAAGGAAGGTTCAGAGAGAGGATAACCACCTCCCCTGGTTCGCCAATTTTTTGTCGCTTCCTCGCTAAGAATTCTACTGAGAATTAAACTCCTTTATCACGAACAGTTCGGGTTCCATAGCCAAAAATCGCACACAAAACCATTTTTTAGAGCTGTTCACTGTTTATATGTCACTATTTTATCACCTTATACTGCCTAAACAGATCAAAATGGCGTCGCTTTTGTTTATTCAAAGCGAACTTCCTGATGAAGTGATGACTGATGAAGTGTTCAGAGTAGTGGCAAGAGGGCAACCTTTCAGGAATTTTTCATCATACAGTACACTGCAGTTCTTCACCATAAATGTTAATCTTTCATTCAGAACTTCAAAGTACCTTGAGGTAGAACAAGTAATCCATCCCCCATTCTAAGATGCTTTCCAAATAAACTGTAGTCCAGCAAAGAAGTATTAAAAATGTCGGCGCACAAACCAATCCCGAGGTCAAAATTGCAAACAGCCTTCACTTATACATATTACGATCTCATGATCTATTGCAATGAGGTACTTAAGTTTAAACGTAAAAAGACACGTTTCCAGATATTTTCAAGTTTTAAATGATGACTTTCGGTTAAGTACTAACCACCAAATATAAACCATCGTATCTGCAGACGGCGAACCGTGAAAAAAATTCAGAATGCAAACCTCAGTCGGAGTCTTTTCTATTAGTGTTTTATATCGAAAACTGTTTGCTCCAAGTGGTTTTCAAAGATGCTCACATCTCTGCCTCTGTCGCGGCTTAGCGTGAGGTAAATGAGACTCATATTGCGTTAGGGGTATCGAAAAGGGTTTCATTGATTAACATTAATGATTGACATTAACCCATAGTATTTCCCGACGGAAATAGTGTCTATGAACCCGTAATCTTGAAATAACAGTTTTCGAAGTGAACTTTTTTAAGAACATCACACTTTTCATACAAGGAACTACAATGCAACCAGGATGACAAATCTATCGTTGGAAGGAGATCCTTTTCTACAGTGTATAGTGGTATTCTTTTAAGAAAAGGAAAGCCAGAAGTTGAGTTGGCACTAAAAGTGTACAACAGTCCTTTTAGAAGCAACAACATATCGCATTTTTTCGCTGAGGAATACGCTCTGAGGTAGGCTCTCTGTACTGTACAAAATATCACAACAGAAATATTGAAATAGAGAAGAACATATCTAAATGCATATTATTGAAAATGTAACTGAAAGTTAACAGCGGAAAGAATACGGTGTAAGAGTAAATTTCTTATCAATATGGTCCACAATGGCAAAACAGATTTGAAGTTTATAAAAAAGAAGGTACGTACCTTAAAGTAAGTATGTACCTTGAATCATAAACCTTTCTCCTAATTTTTCTTCCATCATTCAGATACCTCAGTCATCTAAATATCATTCACTTCTTTAGAACGCATCTTCATCCGTCTTCACCGTCTTAGACAAAAGTGATGATTGTCTAATACTTCTGAAAATGCTCGCTCAAAAATCGAATCATTTCCCAAACCTGAAAATACTCGGCCTGCGCATTCCAAAGACGAAACGATGAGAACAAAAAAAAAATAGCTGTAAATGGTATAGTTTTAATCTTCTTCATGGTAAAACCTTATCATGATCATGGCAGAAAATCAATAAACAACAATCATTTTCATTGCCAACACCACTAGGCACGAGATGACCTCTATCATGAGGGTCTCGATGGGGTTAACCGTTAACTGTTAGGCGTAAAAATTGACAAGTTTTTTAACCGTTAAGCGTTAAAATTTTTGACTTAATCATAATGAAAGTTAACCGTAAGCCGTAAAATGGCCTAAATTTTAACCGTAAGTCATAGCAGCCATCGCGCCATTAAGACTCTCTGTCGTGCTTCGAGCACGCACGAAAACTGCTACAATTATCTTTTCCTGATGACTGAGAAGCCTATGAAGTAGCCATGCGGAAATGCAGCATAGAACAATTTTTTTATCGCTGTCTTCATTCGAGTATGATGTAATTAATTTTGGCGGTCGCTTAACAGGATAGATGTGAATATGACATCAAAGAAAACAAAAAAAACCAGCGATATGGATGATCTATTTGAAATACTTCAAGGCACGGACGCGCTCGATATTCCTTGTCAAGGACCAAGGACAGTGAAGCAATTGAAAGCTGAAATAAAAGATGCGTTTAGTCATTCATTAAATAGCCAAAACTGGAAAAATTGACTGAGTAAGGAATATTTGAAAATTCAGTGGAAGAATGTTACATTGTCGTGGGTGGAATGCTCAACATGAAGCCACTTAGACAATTGTGGAAACAATTCCTTTCTCGAGCAAATTGAACATTTAGGGGTGCGATAGTGCAAGAATGAGAGATAATTGTTTAAATATCGAAAAATGAATGAGAAAGTAAATTTAAAAACCAGATTCTGAGATTCTAAATTAATGCCATAATTGTTATCTTATAGCAGAGCTGCATAGTAAACAGAAGGATAACGAACTCATCTGGTCATGGACACACGATATGCAATCTGAACAGCCCAAAATTAAAAAAAAGGCAAATGACACACCGCTTAGAGAAAAGCTTCTTCTCATTAAGGGGCGCAAAAAAACAAATGAACGTGATTATAAATTTTTATCTAATAATAAAGCGATAATAGGCAATGGTTCATCTAGGCGCCTAAAGGAAATATTTACCTAGCCGTGTATGCAAACAATAGTATTTTTGATTTTTCAACTGATGGTCGAAAACAATCGCAGTCGTCGACAAATTACATATATGTTATTTGCCGGTTGAGAGGTCCGTATTGCGAAAAACTGTTACCGAGTTCACAGTTTTTCACCAGACGGACCGACCCTTAGCCAGTTAATAACATATCTATTATTTTTTAGTAAAAATGTAAATGGTAGTTAAAACAGAGGTGATGCAAATTAAAGAGAGATGCTTTACTGAAACATTTCCACTTGCGTAATGATAAAGGTGATTTAAAAGGCTTCCAAATAAACTTTGAAACATTATTTTTACAATTATCTGTCACAAACTGATACCTGTCAATTAGAGAGCGCGTAAGGAAAAAAAAGCGCATGTACACTTTTGAAAAAAACAACAAACTAGTTTGGCAAGAACTGTCACGACAATGTTTTCTTTAAAAACAGTCAATGATCTTACGAAAAGTATTATACACTCTCATCGAGGATTAATTCATACACGAAGATTTACCTCTGTTCATTAGGTAAACGGCGAGGAAAGTAATTGTAAGTAAATTCAAATTTTTTATTTTGAAGTTGTGAGAGTTTGCTCGTTTGTTTCTTGCAATGGCATGTGTAAATCTGGTCTTTCCTCCATAAAAACTAAATTCGAGTGATACACTCCAACGAGACACAAGGAGATTTAAGGTTTAACTTTATCTCCTTCAGTTTCTGTTGTGCAAGTTACGGTTTAAATGTCCAAATTGAACGGACTTGGAAAGACTCACCGAGAGCGTATATTTGTTGTAGAACTGAAATTAAAACTTCGCTCCCTCTTTCATCACGAAAAAATTGTTTGAGAAAATTCAGATATTAAATGAATGAATGTTCCATCGTTCACTTTAATTAACTGTAACCAAATACCTCACGTTTTAACTTTCTAGGTACTTTTTGTGAACGATTAAAATTAATTGCAGACGGTTTTTAGGCCTCTCCTCAACCAATGTAATTACACTATTGCTTAACAAATAAATTCCGAAAACAATATTTTTTTGTCAACCATGGCAACGAAAGTTATTTATCGGCTTGGGATGACAGACGTCTTTGGCCGAAAAACGAGATATATTTATGAAAAATGGCAACGAAAGTAGGGATGTACTTGGCGACTCACGAAAGCGTTACCGTTGCCCGTGGGCAGAGATAGGAAAATACTGACCGGTTAAAGAACCAATCAGATTGCAGGATTTGTTGCCGTGCCCTCTGAAAAAAAAATGAATTTTCTTAGCATCTTTCTTGCCTAAACTTGGATGGTGATTCACTCCTTCCTTAAATTAGCATCTGAGAATATGAAGCTAGGATTTACGAACTGTTTCTCTCAGTAGCAGTTTCTGTGTTAAATCTCTTGGTCAAGACCTCCGATTATTGATCCCGGAACCTAAATTCAAGGTAAAGTATTAAAATACATAGATTAGAAATATATCACCAACAAATATTATTGTAATCATTAAAAAACATTACTCCTGATTCCTTAGTGGAGGGTGGCATGTATCAAGACGAAAGAATGGACAGTAAAATCTAATCATTTCGTCTTTCCGCTCATCAAAAATATCTCAACCAGAAACAAAACTACTTTTGGTTAGGAAATAGAATTTGCATAAACTAAGCTACAAGCAAACTGATCAATCTTTCTTCTACATTCAAGTGTACCATGGGCAATATATAGTTTTCTCGCAATATTAAGTTTTCTCACATGTCCTAGTCGTCATTGCGACAAATTACAGAACTTCCATTGCCTCTCTATGAAGTTCAATAGCTTCCTTGAGGCAATGCGAAGCTGATGGGCGTTCCGCTGGTTTTTTGTTCCAGCAACTCTCCATCAAATCTTTCCAGCGGCGTGGCGGCTCATTACAGCCTTTCACATGTTTTGGGCGAAGGCCCTCATCCACCATGTTAAAGAGAGCTACATGACTTGGTATGTCACTGAATTCACTGAAGGCCTGCTGCCCATACCACATCTCCCATAAAATTATCCCCAGGCTGTATATGTCTGCTTTCGTGTCATACAGCTGAGAGTGAAACACTTCCGGTGCCACATAAACAGGTGTTCCTGCCAAAGTTCCTGTGATCTTGTTCACATCCTTGGAAACGCCAACGTCGGTTATCTTCACTTCATTTGTCGCTGACAGCTTTTAAAGTGAAAAGAAAAAAAGATAAATGATGCGCACAAGGATGATCTAGCATTATGTCATGATCATCACAATACAACGGGATTGTTTTGAAGATTCTTTCGAAGGACTAGTCACTGAAAGGCGTGTTAAAGGAATTGTAATTTGCTTTTTATAAGAATTAGATTAAAATCTTAGATAAAAATAGCTCAATGCTGGTCAAACTAATTCCTCCCTTTTTTTGTTTGCGTTTTGTGCAGTAAAGAGATCTTTAGGCCTGTAAAAGAAAAAAAGAGCTTTTCTCTCTCGTATGAGCAATCTTAACATAAAAAGCTTGGTCATTGACAGATTTTCCAAGAGCCAAAGAGTAGCTTTAAGTGCCCAAATGAAAAGTTTAGTCTGATGGTAAGGCGTGTGTTTTATTTCGCCACCAACTATAACGTTTCTCTTAGTTCCATACCAATATATTATCCAGTTTGAGATCTCTGTGAACGACTTTTTGATCATGAATGAAGGACAGGGCAGTGACTATCTGCTTTATCCATTGACAGGCGTCTGTTTTGGCATCGATATTCTTAGACTTGGCAGGGGCTCTTTCTGGATTACTGAAAATGCGATTCTTTAAATTTTCTTTGCAGTATTCCATGACTAGTATTACTCGGGTTTCGCCATCTTCCTTTAGAAGCGATGTGCCATGAAAAGTGACAACGTTGGGATGCTTTAGTTTTCTGGTGAAGAAAGTATAAGCACAAAAGTTTCAGTCGTCGAAAGAAAATTTGTAAAGATGAACGTCCATGAATTCAAGTTTTTTAAAATTAAAGAAGAAAAGCTGTAGGAAGTCATGTTGTTAATTTACTTTCTTTCATTTCATAGGAAGAGAAAATAAAATCCTGAAAATGTTTCCGCATATCGTCTCTACAGGTGGAAGCCCAAAGAAACATACCCTTAGTCGTCTTATTATCGTACATAGATATCTTTTCCTATTTTCCTCTATCGTTTACTCTACAAAACGTGTTGTGCCAGTATAGCAATGCAAAAGACAACAGCAAGCCAAGTGGCTGATCTTGTTTCTAAACGACTGAACATATTTGCATAATGCTGGCTATTTTGAGACAGAAGGTAATCCTTCGCAAGTTTTCCCGAACAGCGCTCAGTCAGGTTTCCCCAACGGTACGCCGGAATATCATTTCGACTCATGGTTAAAAATATGCATCAGAGTACCGGCTAGAACTTCGACGCTAACCTCTCGATGGGAAGGGCAGCGTGCAAATCATAAGGTTACCCCGTCAAAATCTTATAATGACGCGCCTGAGAATCAATTAAATAATTTATGTAATGATGATCGAGACCAAGAATAGTGGTCGTGCAACAGTTCTGTATGCTTTAAGGAGGCTTTCTCTTGGGCTTTGCTTACTTCGTCAGTCAGGATGTTTATCAAATGTATTTAAATAATGAAGCTTTGGGAAAATTTTAATTACTTACTCTAAAAATTCAATTTCATCGACAATGTCGCAAGCATTATCTGCTTTAAGCGATTCGGTGAAAATCTTCACTGCCACAGTTTGTTCGTCTCCGTTCTCAGTTTTCATCATTCCTCTGTAAACAGAGGCAAAAGCACCCCGACCCAGACAGTCAGATTGACCTTTTAGGTCCAAAATCTCGCTGCTGATACCGGCTGCGAGGCCCTCTTCAAGTCCAAAAACGGCCAGACGACCTCTGATCTCTGAAGCTGCATCCAAAATCGGTATATAAGTGTCTCTTACGTCTTTTGTTGATTCTTTTTCCTCCAAAAGTTGTTTACACAAAGAATGGTCAGCCTCAATCAGCTCTGGAATACGGGCTTCAATTTGCTTCAGACACAGAGCAGCATCTTTCAGTTGGTCCTTCACGAAGTTCATGAGCACATCTTCTTTTTTAGTAACTTCATTCAAGTATTCGGTGGATGCTTGTCTCATGAAAGCACACTTGTCTTCGTCATATTTCCTGATCCTTCTTTTGTCCTCCAACTTGCTCATAATCGCCATTACGCCAACCTTAGGGGCACCAACCACCAAGACAATGAGAGAAAGGGGAACCCAGATAGGGCTTGTAACAAAAATGGCAATCTTGTCCTTTATGGTGAGTCCGAAGCCTGTTTCACTATGATCTTGTGGCATGATTTCGTCAGATAATAGAGCTTCCTGTAGAATACGGAGTTCTCCTTCAAGAAAATTGCACCGTTCCTTGAAGTGCCGAACAAGAGACTCACGAGTATCTGTAAACACATGGTTGTCTTCTTCCCAACGTTTTATGATCTCTTGCAGGCGGTTTTCCATCACCTTTGTGATGTTGCTCTCTGTCACCTCCCAAGATGACTCTGTCTTTGGTACCTTATCCGAGGTCCACGAGGTAAATTGCGATCTTATATCATCCGAACAAAGATAATCGGAAAGGTTTTTTACTGCACTCTTGGTTCGACTCTCCAGATGGTTGCGGAGGTCTTTCATGACTTCATTTTGTTTTTCTTCGATGTAACTCAAACGAACGCTAACAGAGTTAATTAATTTTAGGATTTCTTCCTGTTCTCTTGTAGTATTTTTCATATGGACCTTTGCGTGGTAAACTATTTGAGAAAGAAGTCCATATAGCCATCTAATGAAACAAACACAATACCAAGGATCAACAGAGTATTGTCGAGGCGATACAAATGTAGACAACAACTGTTTTACTGACCCCTTGAAAGCTTCTATTAATGAGCAAAAACCTTTGCTTCGGCATTGATTCAGACCATGTAATGCTACTTACCTATTTTGAAATGTTTCGTGCAACTACTTACCCCGTTCGCCAATTTTCTACTACACTCCAAAAAGAAACACTGGTTGTGTTTCTTTTCACCTCGCATTAACCGATGCATATGAACATATGACTATAGGAGAATACTAACAGTTAGGTGCTTACCTCCAATAAAATTCCAGCCTGGCTTTGACGCTTCTTAAAACCATAGATCTCATACAATTCATCAGAGAAACAAATCTTTTGGTTACGATCCCGTAGTTTTGGGCTATGCTGGCATTCTTCGTTGACATTTGAACAACCTGTTTCTCTGGGACAATATCAGGATAGAAATTCTTTAACTTTTCGATGACATGGTTCTCCACTTTCTTTTCTTCTTTTTTTTCTTTCACTTGATCCCACTTGTGACACACGAACAAAGCACAGGTGGATGTAAACTCTTCTTCCTTACGTTTTTCTTTGACGCCCTCCAGCAACTTTCCCAACTGTAATTTACCATATAAGGTTACTTTGTCTTGTAATCCTTTCATTTTGAATCACTATGATTTCGAATCAGTAGTCACTTTGATTTTTCATAAATCTATCATTTGTCATAATAAAATACAAATGTATCTTTCATGTGACTGCTATCAAATGACTGATGAAATGTGGAAAGAAAGTCAAATTTAACTCGTTTTGATGTTACACCAGAGATAAATCAATCAGAGTTGAGAACCTTTTTATCTTCCTTAAAGAGATCCTGCGAGTTTTGTTGTAGTTTTTTAACTTGCTTTGAGTTATGATCATGACTTGCGTCGGAATGTTCCACGCTGAGCACGGCGTGTTTCCGATACACCTATAACAGATGCTGATGAAAAGCTATTGCAAATTGTATTTCCTAATTAGACTTACTCTATCTTTCTGAACTCCTCCAGCGTTTGTGCAGTTGATGACATAAATAAATGCAAAGGCCTCAGGCAGATACTCTCTAACTATTTCATCCATGATTTCAGACTCGCCAACACCGGGACTGTCAATGATAACAACTCCATTCTGAAAACGAACCAGTGATATTCTAAGGCTATTTTCTCCTACATAGTTGAAAGTGCCTAATTGTAATAACAATTACATAAACTCGATTTCAAAAACGTTGACACCTAAAAAGGCTTAGGAATGAACGATAAGACCCAACGGCTTCACTGGTATACATGTGGATGATAACTAAAATTAGTTGCACATAGTGAATGAGAAAAGCCATCCACGCCTTCCTGGAAGAAAAGAATTATCAGGAAGAAAGGTTTTCCATAAATAATGAGAAAGAAAAGCACTGATTATGTAACTGTGCGAGCATTTCCAATAAAGCCTTTAGGTCTCATCATTCATAGATCGTACTTTTAAGGTGCTGACGTTTTTTAAATCGATTGTATAATCATACTCGCAAAGAAATTGAAATTTATCGCGAGAAGGGTGTTCTGAAGATCCTTTGGATTTATATTTCTGCTTTTCACTTCACGATTTAAAAAGTTCATAAGTAAATATTACATCCAAACCGAGATACAAACAAAACTAGACAATGGTACCTTCAAAAGTTTGTGAGGCCAGAAGAGTTCTACCTTCTTGTAAACTGAGCCTATTTCCCGACCACTCTGGACAAATGGAAAGATCTGGTCATGGTAACTTTTTCCAGAAGCTTTAGGCTCAACCAAGTTGAAAGTTTTCGTGGGCAATAACGTTTCCGGGTCTTTGTCTTTATAGTGGGCAACAATTCTACGTTCTTCTCCGTATTTCAACTCGCATATGGTGGACGTGGTGCTTAGAATAGAATAGGGAAGAAGCTCTTCCCCAAGAATGAGATTAATCAAACTGCTTTTTCCAGATCCAGTTTCACCTTTAAATGAAACACATCGGTGGTCATGGTTATTCAAACAGCACTGGTCTACTAACAATTTGGAGTTGTAACAATCCTGTGTAATTAGAAGATAATCGATAAGCGCGATCCAACATGGTGTTAACTAGGCTGCGCTTGTACTTAATGTCAACATGACTCTGGAAATGCAGAAGGAGACCCGTGTTGGTTCTTTTGATGTAGACCTTGCTCTCAATCGAACAACAACACGGTCAACTTCCGCGCTATTACCGGAGGTACGTCGATGACACCCTGACCGTAATGCCTGATAGGGTGACCGCTGGCCAGTTTCTAGACACCCTTAACTCTACCCATCCCTCCCTCCAGTTTACCATGGAAGTCGAACGGGAAGGATAGGGTGCTTAACCGTGCACCAAAGATTGAGAGCAAGGTCTACATCAAAAGAACCAACACGGGTCTCCTTCTGCATTTCCAGAGTCATGTTGACATTAAGTACAAGCGCAGCCTAGTTAACACCATGGTGGATCGCGCTTATCGCTGAAAGGAGTGGGTGCAATCGGTATTTTAGGACAGGTTAACATTTTTTCCCATGGAAATGGGTGCGTAAACTGTTTTTAATTCATAACAAATCTCTCTGCTCTTTTCTCAACCCCAAACAACACATACTTTTTTACAAGACCTCAAAGAAATAATACAATTAAATGTACCTGCCACTAGAAGGCAGTAATCTTCTTGTTTCATTTTTATCTGATGGTTTTTCATTTTTTCCTTTACATCACCCATTTTTTTCTGCAGCAGAGTTTTAATTTTGTCATCTAGATCATCATAACACGTTTCAACTTCGTGGTAAAAGCTCAGCAGGAATTCTTTAACCTTGGCATCTTGCTCTTTTATTTTTGATAAAACAGAGAAGGCCTACGGATAAAAGAGAAGTTCGCATGTAAATGTACAAGAAATGGCTGTTTTGTATAGTGAAATTGTAACTGTTTAGGAGAGATTCTGGTATCGTGACTGAGAATGATACTTGAAAGGTTCCAGCAGTCATTATTGTATTTCATAGAAGAACTGTACGCAGCAAGCATCATCGGATCAATCAATCCATTGTCCAAGCTTGTTTTATTACAACAGAAACACCCGCAGGGATAATCAAAGCATTGGAAAGTTGAATTCGGATGAAAGAGGACTATTCATACACTAACGTCCCTCTGATAAAGTAACTTTTATTTTATGAACAAGACGATGGTTCAAATTGCAATGGGACGGTTGCACTCTCGTCTGAATAATAATGGAGCTAAAAAACGAAAGTTACTTTTTTCATTTCTTCAGTTCTTAAGTAGCAATAACTTAAAGGAGCATTTTCTTCGAAAATTTTCCTAAGATCTTCTCCACATAACAAAGAAAATCATTAGGTTGGAGTTCGAAACGATTCCGTTTGTTTATCGTCAACGATATGAGTTTGCAATTTTAAATTTTTACCAGGTGCAAGCTTTTTATAGCTCTCACTTTTGACTCTGTAGAAGGCTCAGTAAAACCGCTGATTCAAATGGAAGAAGTGAGAGAATTTAAATGAAATGAAAATACTGCATCGCGAGTAAAATTAATTGACGGCGATTGAGATTCTGCCCATGGCTCAGCATGTCGTGTTTTAATTTGCTCCTCTTCATCAGTCATAATTCAGCGAAACCGAATTTTTTTAGGAATTTATCATGAACATCACAAGAAGGGAAAAATTTCTCGAGTTGAATCTGTGCAAAGAACCGTTATGCTGAAGAAACATACAAAATAAAAAAAAACACTCACGAACTAGCAAGTTTCGCGTTTTCGTCGTTTACTTCGAAGTAGTCAGTGTACCGTAACAAATTAAAGTTTTTGCTTCAATTTGCATACGAAAAGTTTTTCTAAGTTTTCAGTACGATTTCGCTTAGGTCGTGGTGCCATCTTATTTATCAATGCAGTCGTTGCCGCTCGCCTGTAGTTCATTTTCTTGCAGTAGATATATATTAATTAACTGATATTGGTTTTAGTTGTTCTTAGCGGATCTAATGAAAAAATCAGCGACTAAATCACAGAATAGCTGGTACATTTATTGTTCTCTCTTTATGATAATTTCACAAAGGCAATAAAATATTTTCCGGGTTTTATAAGGGAATAAAGTAATTTGGAATGTTAGAAGAACACTCGAAAAGCATCTTAACTGAATTGCCAGACGGCCTTTGATTTACAAGCTTTATTCGTGTCCTCCCAATGTCCTGCTTGGATCACATCGTTATGAATTCCAATTCAAAATGTTTCGTCGCTCTAATAAGGCTTCCTTCGTGAGTCCCTTTTCGCATGTTTCTTTTCGTGCTCCGACTAGCATTGGAAACCCTTAAAAAGCTCCCAAACCACTTTAAATTTTGAGGTTAATTGTGACAGTTAGCGACAAAAACTTTTGCACTCCATACCTCACAAACACGTGAAAGTTTGTGAAAAATTGTATGAGGAGTTAATGATGGTAATCTCATGCGTGATGAATTGTTTAAATGGAGTTTAAAATTTAGAAATACAGGCCCAAAAACGGGAGCGAGTAATACCCAGAGTTAAATTCATATCTGTTTATTGACGACACAAAGAAAAGTTCGACAAGGCTGTTACCGTTTGGCATCCTCTAAACAATTTGAGATGAGAAACAGCGTTCTAGAAAATTATAGAGACTTTTTTTCGATATACAAAACGCTTACCTGACCAGCAGTCCAACTGGGGATGTTAGGAAGCTGTTCTAATTCAGACTTTACTCGACTTTTCATCTCGTCTAACGTCTTTAATCCTCCCGATGAAATTTCAAGGGCTGTCATCACTTCAAGCATTTCTTTAAAATCATCAATATCATCAATGGTTTTTGCTTTGCTTGTAGCCATATTGGATGAACCCCGAAGGTAACTAAAATGGAAGCAGGCACGCAAAGGAAATGACCTCTAAATAGCCTATCCACTACAGCATCGAGTCAGTCCATTGCGACAGATCTTTACCGTTTCGCTCTGGTGTACACAAGGCGTGACTGAAGTATTCAGAGGAATCTTGCAAAGGAGGGGGGGAACCCTATATGATGAAATGCGTAAGATTCCGTTGCTCAATCAGTGAGGTAATGATGACTTCATTTTTTGTCTTTAGGGCCCGTGCCTTCCATTTTTCGGACTGATTGGACGTTGCTCTCAGACTAGTGCATAGCAATAGGTTAAAAATGGTATTCTATTAAAGCAGTAAAGATTAATTCATGAATACATGTATTGTTTGGTCAATACGGACTATTGTCTACAGTTAGGTAGAAGGTACATGTTAAGGCATAAAGTACTGTCATCATACTACGTCCTGGGCGTGAAGCAAGAAGCAGGGTCTAAAACGCAATCTGAAAGGGTATTCAGTTTTCAACTGGCAATTCAGTACGGACGTTATCAGGCATTCAATAATACTTTCCGGTAGAATAAACACCAAATGTCTGATTATTTAAAACAAAGTGTAGCCGTTGGTAGACAAAACCGCGTCCTAAACAATTCTAAATTTAGCTGAACTCTTTATTTGAACATTTACTATTGTTAAGAGAGTCAAGAGGGTTGAAAGCTAACAGTAGAAGGACGTTTAACTAACCAAGTCAACCTTCTTATATACAAATCCCGAGACCCACTGATTGCGTAAAACCATGGTTTGGATTAGACCTTGTGTAAATAAATGGCCGGAAACGTTTTCTGCACAAAAAAATCGCCTTCACTTTTTGCTCCTATGAGACGTAACATAGAGAGAGGAGCCGAGTTTTGCGAATACTTATGCTAGATCTGTAAATATTAAAGTCATATCCTTATGAAGTAACATGTTGTAGACATCGATATTTCATAACAGACATACTTTTCCGATATGCAAGGGCAATTTTGAATTAATTTTACTCTAGTCCATAATGTGACCCCTTCAGTGGTCACATGAAAAAAGCGTGACGGAGAACAAACATCAATTTTTTCAACTATTATTCTATGCTGTAAGCCATTTGGATGGATCGGTACCTCGTTTTGCTAGCTATAAGGTGAGCTTTATTGGTTGGGTATTAATCCCACTTGCTGAAGTTAATTTGGAGATCCAAGGGGAGGTCCATTGGGGTTCCAACTCGAAAATGAGACGCAATTATTTTCCGATTCCAGCCACTGGAAAAGTGACAATGTTTTGATAACTTTTCAGTGAAATGGGTCAAATTACTAGCAAATTCAGTGTGATTAAAATGTAAACAAACGTGACTTATGAGAGTCTCCTCAGAGGCTACTGTACCCCTTAGGCCTCACTCCAAGGTAACTTTCACGAGCCCCCCTCCCCCCACTCCCCTGGATTCCAGCGCCTAGTGCTGAAGTACACACAAACAACACAAGAAACTGTCTGTGGTGTGGGGAATAAGTAAAGAATCCACAGTGTCACTTCTCTCTTTCAGATTTTGATTTTCCCTGTTGTCTCGCGTACGCAACGAAGTTACACCCCTCACTCACGAATTTTCTTTTGCACCAGTGAGGTTTATGGAGTTTTGAGGCGAAAGCGAGGTAAGTTCAAATGTTAAAATGGCAAACGCTAATTTGATTGTTGGTAGAAGTATTCATCAAGGTAATCGTAAATGTTCTTGTTCCTTATGAAACATACAAGCTTGAAAACCTTAAGTTGAAAGTTTGCATTCCCAAAGGTATCTCGACACCTCAGGAGATGAACAGTTGAAATGTAGCGAATTAGAAAAATTCCAAAAAACCATTGCATGAACCTGAGCAACTTATTGAGACACCTTCTTTAACTGGTATAGTATGTGATATAGTTTTATATCAACATAATTCACCTTTCTGTAGCAAGACAGCATTTTTTTATATGTAGTTTATCTCCTTGACATTCAATTAATAAAGTTTCGTTATGTTTAATTACTTGCTGTATTTTCTTCCTGTTAAGGATAACACTTCAACGGTAGGACTATGAAAATTGATAACCATCGATTGGTACTATTCTAACTGCATCACTTCAGCACTACAAGGTGCTATGGTTTCCAAGGTTTTGCAAGAAAATTTGAGAATATGCTACTGGACCATGACTCAAAACACCCTACTAAGAATATTGCAAGTGAAGTGACAAACATACATATTAAGTCATCTCTTCTTACCATTTCTGTATGAACAACAGCTTATGACACAAAATTAATCATTTATCAAATGTACAAACTGGATGAGAAATAAAAAAAAAATTTTCTCAAGAAATAATTAACCATTATTTTTAGCTTAAGGCCTATTATTGAACTGTTAACCTGTTAGTTTGCAAATAAGTGTTACATATTACTTTTCAAAAAGGTAAAAGGGTTGTCTATGCATGTGTGTATGTTGTATCAGGTGGTGGTGGGGTAGCCATATTATCTGCTAAGTTTTAGGCTATTAGGCTTTCTACTACAGCGAAAGAGGGAGGGGTGAAGGAAACCATTGAGTATCTATGGGAGTAAAAAAAAACCAAAATTTTGAAAGTGAAAGATCCATACCCTTCTCCAAAAATTAAAAACATCTTTTAAAAATAATGTGTTTCTGAAATATTTACACTTTATTTTTGTACTTTTGTATATTTTTTGCTATTCCATTATTTTTACAAAGCATTATATTATGACTAAACCTCCCTAGCTTCCTTTCCTTAATTAATATGCCATACTTTACAGGCTCAAAGTACATCGAGTTAACCTCGCGTCACTTCACTTTCTATGAGGAACTGCTCGTTTAAAACTTTATTAAATTTCACACATGGGAAATTATTTTTATAAGATCAAGCAGTGAGGACTTTCCATTCGTTTTCTTAAAACTCCTCTTGCCACTGGATCTGTCTTCCGTCTGTTCTGTTGCTCGCACTTTGTACGCGAAGCCTTTTACCTTAGCTATGTGGTTAACAGTTCCAATTCTGGTGGAGTTCAGGCGAACAGGGTGAGCTCTCATTGCTTTCTCAATTTTTTGCCTAAACGTAGACCATGAATTAATAATTAAGACAGTAGTGTATTTCCAAACAACTGGACTATCGTTGGAGAAAATACTGTGGCTTGAGCTGTATTTTTCCCACAAGATTATACAGTATTATTTCATTTCTTCGGATAGCATGGCATTACGGTTATCCGTCTCTCTTTTTATTAAACCTAAATTTTTAGTTTAAATGTTTCTTTATTGAGTCTCAGTTCCTTTCTTGCTGCTGCTTCTCTTAAGGTATGATAAAACACCCGGAATCTGTTTTCTAGAGAATATACTTGTTGGAACCGACTCGCGGCCGAATGAACGAACTGATATTGATTAGTTCCACTTCGAGACAACACAAAGTGGTGGAAATGTCTGTAATTTGAAAGTCGTTCATAATCACGAGTTCAGTTGACCTGTATTAAAGCGTTGTGTTCTACAGCTTCGTGTCAAAAAAGCTCTCGGCGAATTGTCCCCGACACGTCCAGCTATTCTAGGTGGAACAGTCGCAAAGTATGTCGTAATTTCTCTTGCGTTAATATGCATTTTTGCTTTGGGTAGCTCAGCGAACGTATTTTACATTTTGATTTTCTTTTCATTATCCTAAAACAGCTCCTTTTTATTTTATCCAGCGAAGCCAATAGTCTACAGAAATATAAAAAAATGAACGAAAAGTTATTTACCCAGTGTACATCATTTGTCTTAAACAGGTGGGATCAAATTCCTGCAAACAATGCCGAACAAGTGAAGCAAAAGTAAATTGAACTTACTGAAAGGTTTGGAGACCTGAATCCGGTGAAGCAGATCTCTATCTCTCTTCCAGTAGAACTCAGTGTGCACATATGTAGAGCGTCATCACAGAAGAATTTGATAAGCTTTTACATGGAATGAGTAATCTCGTTTGCAGACCAGCCTTCAGCCGATTTACTCCAGGTGAGCAAACTTTGTTCAAAATAACGATAATTTATCATAGTTTTAGCTCACAGTGCTCCATACACTGGCAAAGAATACTCTTTCAACTTATCATTATGAGCTCCATTGAAACTTTGTGATGGTAAAATCTTTCCCTAAAGCTTACCTGTTGTTAAAATGGGAGACACAATAACCCAGAACGTGACATGTTTAGGTCAGTATCTTAACCTGTTTGAGTATGACAAGCAAAGCTTGTTACTTACGGGGAAAAATAATCGAAAATTGATATATTTAAGAAGGTTTTAAATTAAAAAATGTATTATAATCCTTACACTTCATTAGCTAAACTTGAGCAATTTTGACCTCATCTACAATTCAAAGAAAGAATAAGTGGGCGATCTCGTTAGATTCAGTTTGCAAGGAACTGATGGCGAAATGATTCTTTAGTTACTACTTTTTCTCAGTTTCGTCGTCATTCATATCTGAGGAGACAGTTTTACGGTGTAAATTATTCTTGTAAATATTCATTGGGTGGCTTGAAGACCTCCTGTCACGGACGCCTGGTCAAAGCTGTAGTTGGTTGAAAACAACGACCATGTCACGCAAGAAAATAGAGAAGAAGATCGGAAACGAGAGATAGATAGAATGGCTGAACTAGAGGGCTTTCACAATCGACTACTTGGCGAGCTAGGTGAATGCCAAATGCAAATAATCAAAGGTAATATTAAAGGTCTTCTTACCTATTTCAAATCAGACGACATCGCTCAGAAATTTTATACGTGGTACGGGTATGAGATCCCTGAGGCTAAACTAACATGGGAAGAACTAAAATAAAGTATTAAAGTGGGTTTCCGAACGAGCCCGGAAAGCTGTGCAGGAATGGGAAGACAAGGAACATCATTTTGCCAAAGCCACGTTGCCCTGATTCAACTTTGCACTAAGAAGTATATAACATCATGGAAGAAGATATCAGGAAGGTAGAATGAGAACCTCTTTCTGGAAATCCAGAGGAGGGCAGTTCCAAGGGTGAATCAATTGAGCAACCAACTTCGCGTAGGAAGGGTTCCGAAAAAGAAAGAGGGCCTGGAAATGCTCCAGTGTGGGTCTGATAAGGCTTGACCTCAGTGGTACTTAGCACTCCTTTCATGGTGGCTCTAACTAAGAAATTCATAAATAAATTCCAGTACAAAAAGAAGTTGAAAGATTTGTTGTCTTCTGTGAATGCGCCCTCAAATCATACATCATTTCCCATGCTGAAAGTGCTCCTGCACACTCTGAAGATCAAACGGCGCACAAGCAAGTGTTACTCTGAGCTCAACAGATCCTAAATGCCTTGAGTTATGTTCAACAACAGGGATATGTCCACTGTGAGCTAAAACTGGACAATTTGACGGTAAGTTATACGCTCTTCAGTGATTCAGGTTTAAAATATATACTCTCAAAGATTCCCTGTCGTTATTGCAAAGAAATTAACAAAACATTTTGATCTCCTTGTCATTCACAGTTTTGTTTTGTTACGTTGACAACTGATAATAAAGTGAAACTATTTGATGTCCGTGTAATCAAGCAGGAAAAGGAAATATGGGGTGCGTTGTGCGGTTCTCATCTTGAAATGGCACCTGAGGTCTTGGCTGGTGAAATTTTCGACAAAATGGTTGATACATGCTGCTTTTAGTCTCCAGGGACGCGTGAAAAAAGACCTTGTATACTTCTGTGACGTAAAGGAAACTAAACTGAAATAACTCTGTGTGGCTAGCCAAAAGGATATTTTATAATCACGCAATCAAAACGAAACAAGGCTACATTTTAAGAAAACAAAAGGTCATATAATGTTCTAAAGCGTTCTTTGTACAGCGACGTGACAAGGCACACGAAAACTCACGCGGGCATAATTTTTGTTGGCCTCAGGGAAGGATTTTCCTCGCACTTTCAATTTAAAAGAAAAATATGAAAAACGTAAGCGTTTCGCATGTTTATAAATTTTTTTTTTATTTTTCTTAGCTCGTTTTGTTTTACTTCAATTTTTTTCCTCAATCGGTGAGGTGCAAAATCAGCGAAAACATCAGCGACTACGAGAGTTCGGTCAAAACAAATCTTTATCATCTATTTCGCTTCCTCTCGTTTTCTTCTTCTTCTTCTTCTTTTTCCTCTTCCTTTCTTCTTTTTTAATATGAAAGTAGTATACTGGAAAATTGTTGACTGGTACTATAAATACTACAACAATTGCTTATTGCTATCTGTAACGCCTGCAAAGTCACGCATCACCTTTAAAATGTTGCGTCATAAACGTCGTGTCACCTGAAACCGAATGGGTCAAAACAAGATTTATCACGCGCATGTAAGTTAGTTTATTAATCGATGAAGTCGGCTTTTATTTCACTGTACTGCGGCAAGAAGAAAGCTGAGAAGCACTTACCGTAGCCAGGGCCTTTACCAGTGTTGGCAATCGCTCGCTATTATTCAAGTGGAAAAAGCTACAAGGTAAATCAAAACGATTTGAGATGTTGTTTTCGGTTTTGACATGACCGTGTTCAAATGTCAATTTGTTAGTGTTGCGACACTTTGTTGCTTAAAATATAGGCTACCATTGATTCCAACAGTGCTATTGAATACTTAAGTTTATTACGTAGATTTTTATTGCTTGGATTCCACATACGACTATTTTAGTCACATTTCAATTCGTTTACCTGCTGGGGACAATTTCGTGATCAGGAATGAAGACGAACTTTGCAAATGCATTTTCAGTTGCAGCCAGTTGCAACCGTTTCAAAACTTACGGAACCTTGCTAGATTTCAATTATGCCACACTGAATTACTCTACAGTAGCAGAGAATAAAACTTAGATGCATGTATTCGTCAATGCAACTGGAGTATTTCCGGTGAACCTGGATGAAGAGAACAATTAAATCACTACAGGCAGTGAGTCACTGCACCCAATGTATGATGATTGATGTCGTTAAAAATTTAACCTAGCGTGAAGGAAAAAGTCCAGATGGAAATTTGAAGTTTCTGGGCAATATAGTACAATGTTACCTATGTTTAGAAAATTTTGTTTATTTCGAGGGAGATGCAATTTAGATTTCCTCCAGCTGGATAAAAATTATCATATTTTTTCATTGTTGAGTGATATCCCAGGTGACAGCGAATCCTTTAAGGTAGACGCATCAAAAACATCTGGAACAAAACATTGGTTCTAAAATGAACCTAAAAAAATATTGGAATTAAGATAAAATCACAGAATCAATTTTCACTATGGCTTGTTATTTTTCATATGAACAGCGCGGTTGAGTGGACAAATTTTGCCTCATGTGCCATACAAGAAATTTTAGCTCTATTAGGAAGATTAAAACGAAATATTTTCATGTTTCATCAAAGAGTTTATGCTAACCATTCTTCTCACAAAATCGAGACTCGCTCAAAAGGGTAAGGCTTACAGTTGTGACGTGAGGCTTAATATCGGAAATCGACTCAATCCGATTGATCGACGGGCACGAAGGGTTTCATCTTTTGTTATCGTTGTTTATTATAATTCAATTCTTCTCTGTCTTTCGACTCCGTTCAAGCTCATTGCACCGTCTAATAAACTTTCGATCCTTTCCAACAGGAACAGTATAGTTAATTCTCACAAAGAATTTAGAATTTACACGAGCTTCTTCTGTTAGTTTTTTATTTGACAACGCTATTATGGGGCTTAAGATGTGAAGCTGGTGTTTGCACAAGGTGGGCTCAGCAAAATAACCTGTAATTAAACTGAGTCGGTAACTTGCAAATGTTAATTTTGCCGTATGATACACAAATGTACATTTTTTAAGGATTTTTTTTCCTGCTCCAAAACTTTCGCATTTCATCTCTGTTGAAGAACTGAGAAAACGCGAGGGGATCAAAGAAAATCGGTGTATGAAACTTTCTCGTGCTTTCCAATACCTTCTTCTAAGCTTTTCCGCCAGTAAAAGTGCTCTGAAACCGCAGCTAGTCAATCAAGTTGAATTTTCCATTTAATTTAACTCTGGAGAGTCTTCTTTAAGAAAATTGACGAATTTCGATTACCCATTGGCGCCTTTTAACAGTCAAATTGAGAATCGTCACGAAACATTCTCAGAAACTCACGAACACTCAGGATTCTAGAGAACGCAGTCAGCTGTATTGATATCTACTCCATGGAAACTAATCAAAATAAAAGTAAGACAGCTGTCTATTTTAAAAATTCGTGATCAAATTCCTCTTGTTAGTGAGATTCCGTTACTTGCTCTTAATTGTGGGAAACTGAGTTATCTATAAGACAGGCGCTTTGCGTTGGTGTAATGTTTGTTTCAACTTAGTTTCGTCTTTGTTAAGTTCCTAGACAAACAATTTACATACGGATACAGCACCCTGTTGGTCTCTTCAGAAGATCATGTTTTTGTTCACCATAGGTAACCCACGTCTTCTCATTTCCATTTTTATTCTATACCTGGAATTCCTTGGTGAATCGAACATCTTTCGAGTTAATGATATGCGCAAGGCAGTATTGTTTGGACAAGCCACGGAAGCAAGGCAAGCCCTTTTAACTATTAACAGGTGTTACTCTGTTGTCATTCTTCGTAATCACCTAAAACCCGACGGATTTAAAAGTTACATTATTAATAAAAGATTAACTATATGGAATTCTGGATGCGTTACATCACGATCCTTGATAAAAAATTCAAAATTGTTGTCTGCTCTGACCTCAGAGAGAGCTGGAGTGGAAGATTTGGCAAGATTTACGGTGCCTATCATTAATATTCAAATGTTTCCCAACAGAAGGCTTATAAATTGTGGGAACCAAGAACTTGTTGACTTTGCAAAAACTTGCTGTGTCTGCTTTGTCTCTAGATTCTTAATTTTGGGGCATAAGTTTTGAAAGTGAAATTTCAATAAGGTTTGAAAGGACCATGTTTAATTAATGAAAAATAATTGGATTAACCAGACACTTGAACAAATATTGACTTGGTCAATTCACAAAAGCAAAATTATTTAAGGCCAGGGTAACATCATTAATGTCCATATTTCACTAGCGATCTGTTTATGAAGTAACTATGAACGGAATAAGAGATTTTACGCAATCTGTCTTGGTCTCCCTTCCCAGCTTTTCTTGCTATTAATTTATCATGCAGATTGCAGAAAAAGTGCGCCCTGTAAGACAAATCGAAGTCTATTTCGTATCAGCTGGTTAAACTCATGTGAGAAGTGACGCTAATTGACATATTCCGAACACCATTACCAAATCACCGTGGACAGTAATTATGTAGCAGATTCAGCAAAAGCAATGCATTAGTCCCTGGCACAAACGCAAATTCAAATTACACAAGTTGGTCAGCTACATTATTTACTACTCCTTTTTCATCTTTGACTGTCTCAGAACTTGAAGTACGGAAAATAATCGTTGTAACTTAAAGGTAAAGGATAAATATGTCCGAGTCGGACGCTTGCTTTTATTAATGAAGTCGTTCACTTAAACGTTGTCTTTTGTTTCAGTAAATTTTTTTCATTTTTTGGGCTAGTGTTTATCTAAAACTGTTGACAGAAGCCCTAGGTGGGAAAAAAAATAAACTAAATAAAAATCTGCACCAAAATTGCACCCTTTTATTCCTTGTGTGCCATTTCCAAGAGCTCATTGTCTTGTGCTGAACTTTTTACTGTTTACTGAGCTGAACTGCAATCGAACCAACGTACCCGCATTTCCTTTTCATTGCGCTTAAATTGTACTTTTTATTTAGCGAATAGCGCGCGACAGCTGTCGAAGGCAACCTGGTATTCAAAAGCTTTCTTTTAGACTTTGGCTGCATTTAATGACAAACTTTAACACGAGGTTTTAAGAGTAATAGTAGATTTGGCATTTATCAAACATTTGTTACTTTTCTCCGTTTATCATAGCTTAAAGTTTCAATTTGAATGAAGCCAGTTCAGAGTCTATTTTTAGTTCAATTTGACTGCATTGGAAGGTTTTAAATCTCCTCAGGAGCTGGTTGATTGGTATTTTCTTTAGATACTGGAAATAAAAATACTGCTGCCTTTGTTAGGCCTGCGACATGTAGTTATGTCATAACCTTGAGCAATAATTAGCAACTTAGTTTGTCTGATCAGAACACTATGGCGATAAACAAAAGAGCGAAGAACGGGAGAGGAAGAGTCCTTTCTAAAATGTTTCGATGGTAAGAACTTCTTAGGTGTTCGTACATTCTCGGTATTGCGTGTGACGTGTCTATAGTCGGCAATTTTTATTTGCCAATTGCCTCAGGGGCTAATTAGCGAAAGGTGTATACAACAGAAGAGACACAATTCATTGGAGTCTCCAGAATATTGCTGCAATCGGAAAGTAGTTACATGCTCAGAAGACCATTTAAGTTGTTGAACGTTTGAACATTTCGTGTGCTTCTTTCTCTTCGTGCCGACTCTAATCTGAGGACCAGGTGGCAACAGTCTATATTAACAGATAGTTTTTGGTATCAAGGCCAGGTGACATCTTTGAAAGTGCCTCCATGGTTTGTTGAAGTCCTAAATGTAATAACTGTCCTAAATGTAATAAAGTCCTAAATGTAATAACATTTGGTCCTAAATGTAATAAAGTCCTAAATGTAATAACGTTCGGTCCTAAATGTAATAAGCCTCCTATGCAATCGTTTAACTGCGCTAACATTGAGATGTTAAAGTGACAGCTGTTGCACCAAAGAATCCTCTGACCAATATTTATGGAATATTGCGGGCTCACTGATATTAATCAGCGGCTTTTTATTTGTTAAAGACGTAGGTCGAGAAGCATTGGCTATAAAACCTTATTCTAATACTGATATGCTTTTGGCATCAAATTGACGGACGCAGAAGCAACGAGAACGTTGACTAATAGCTCTCTCTATATCATTGGCTCAGACTCTTAAGTGTAACAGATTTTGACGAAATACTTCTGTCCTCAGTGCTGAAGTTAACACTTGATGAACCAAATTACAAGGAAAAAGAAGTCCACCGACTTATACGTTAGACAAATTCTGGGCTCAGAAGGGGATTTTTTTGTTCTGTCTTCCCTTGCCAGATTTGTACGGGTTTGCATAAAATATATTCATATGCGTTATTGACCGAACGTGAGGTCAAAATGGCTATATATTGGCCGAGTTCTTTTTTTTTTTTTGTTGCGTTTTTATGGACTGAGACGAAGTCACGGTTCATAAAAAAGTAGAAAAAGAACAAGGCTAATATCCAGTAATCTTGACCATACAAGAGAGTTTATATTCTCTTGGCTTCATCATTAAAGGATTCATTGTATAGCAAAAGATTTCGCTTTGATAAGAATCAAGAATGACCTGTTTATTTCGAGAGCCGATAGTAAAAGCCAACTGTGTTTGCAGCACAATAAACCCAAGAGGGTCGTTTATTTTTTCTATGTATATATGAAAACATTGTCCAAAAGTTACGAACTTTGTAAGTTTTCTTGCGCGTTTTTATGAGCCATAATTCGGCTGAAGTTCACT